CATTTGCGAGAATCCACCGGGCCTCAATGTAAACAACCAATCAAACAACCAATCAGAGCCAAGGAAGATGAAAAGACGCTTTGAGTTGGTGGCTCCAAAATAGTTATTGATATTTGGCAACCTGGGAATGAGACTCAATCAACACCACCCCAAAGTTGTGTACAGTGAGTAATACAAGTAAATACAAGTTTGAGCTCAAGTTGAGACTCTGTTTGTACTGTATACAAGCATTCATTTGGTACTGTATATTTAAGTATTGCTGGGGTTGTAAATAATAAAAACAAAGGACTACAATACACAGCATATGGCATAAAAAGTAGCTGGTTTAAATTCCCTTATTCCCAAAAAAATGGTTTGTCAGTCGTAGTTAAAGCTCTGCCAGAAAATACTATTTTTTTTTTAATATAACAGGTTAAAGGATAATTCCAGTTTATTACCACTTGGGTGTTAGTTTAATATTTTTGGCCATCAATTTCATCTGTTATGATCACACTTATCAATTATTTTAATAACACTCCCTGTGCTAACACAGCATCTGTGAAAGCAGCCACATGGCTACATCGCACACGGAGTCAGACAGGTCGGAAACAGTCTGAAATGTAAACCACTAATCCACTTTCTTCAGAGGTAAAACTAAATGTAAGCACACCCAAAATGTACAAGGGAAACCGTGTGCAGAACAGTTATGGTAAGCACAGTAGGTTAAGGCTGAATCAGTCAACTCTGAATCAGTGATGAATGTTTTCAATAGCCAGTCTGGGCTATCATTCTTTTTCTCTAACAAATAAGTTGAACTAACTGGGAGTTTGTTTACATCCTATCAGATTGACTGACTGCTTGTGTCTCTTGCCCCGTTGGACGCTGGTGTAGCAATGCTGCCACATTCCCACATTTACAACACTTAACTTGATGCCATCAGGCCAAAACCATGAAAATCAGTTGTAGATAAAAACTACAATTACCGCCCTGCGGTTCTATGCCTCTGTCGCCTGGTTAAGTTGCAGTTGTCTGTCCGATCTCTGACGGAATGTAATAAAAAGTAGTAAAGCCCCATTATATAACCTTTCTACCTTAAAACAACAGTTTCATTTTGATGCTACACTGAGTTGTAACAGGGTGAATGATACCTCTGCCTTTCCCACTCTGCTCCCTGTATGCCTGCCCTCACAGGCGTACACCCAAGTGTGTAACACTTCACAGCAGTAGTCACACACCACCGACTATATCAATGATTGAAACTGGATCATATTTTATGGAGAAAATGTTTCCTGTTTTTCCCTCTGATGTCCTCCAGGCTGCTCCACCTCAACTCTCTGTGATTAACAGTTTCCTGATGGACAGAAAGCTGCTAAAGCTCAGTCTGTGCTGCCCGGACTGGGAGCTCAAAGCCCCATGGAAGTGTTGGTATATGGTCAGTTTACTTTGTGACCAAAAGGATTTTGTTTTGAAATGAGAAAAACAAAAATGGTAGTCAGGAAACAAGCTGTTTCCTGACTACCATTTATAAATATCAGAAACAAAACGGATTGTTTTTTCATTTTCAAAATAAAACAGAAAATGGGTCATTTATTTGTTTTATTTTATTTTCAAAACCAAAAAAACAGCTGTTTTGGCTTGCTTTTGTTTTCTCCTTTCAAAACTAAAATCCAGGCCCGAGTGCCGGGGAGCCAGTGGGGGAAGCTGACACGTAGTGGAGCCAGTGTTGTGCCAGAACCGAAGCCGGGTGAGCGGGCAATGTAACCGGGATCAGCAGCCTCTGCGGACATGGCAGAGGAAAAGAGACCCTTTAGGACGTTGACGGAGGAAGCTAAGAAGAGAAAAGGAGAGAGAAGCCCCTGGACAAGAGTAAATCTAGGACTGGCTTTTAGTCGTCGAGAGCTTGGTGAAATAAAAAACAGGCAGACGGCGAGCTGGCCTTCTTGCTGTTGGATTAGTCAGTAACATTAGCTGCTTGCTGTGTTGTGTGTTGTTGCACTTGCTTGATGTTTGGCTGTGTTAGCAGAGTTATCAACTGGCAGGTTTTGATCATAAGAAATTTAATCGGAACAAATGTACAGCTGGTCATATTTACCACAGTGGTTTTGCAACCAAGGGCACCAAATTGCAACAAATAGCAAATTGTAATGGAAGTTATTACTGTATCGACATGTATGATTCCAGGAAATCATTTCCAGTGAAAAAAATGCTGTCTTCACTCAAACTGTTTTTAAGAGAGCTTCGTCACATGGTGCACCTGAGGCTCAATTTCAGCAAAACTAATGAACTTGTTGGACTACCAGAGAACCGGGAGGCCCCCTGTCCTGGTTGTCATGAAGAGGTGAAGAGGGTCCAGATCAATAAAAATCTGTCTGCAGGAGTCAGCGCTGTGTTCTTTGTGGTGGTGTGCTGGGAGTATCCAACCAGATGTATAATATGGTCACCATCTCCCCTCCCGCTCCCGTTAATTAATAGCCAGACAATTTTTTTTGCTGAACATTATCATTTCACAGGGAAGCTGACCTTTGACCCTTTGGACATAAAATGTCACCACTTCATAATTTTTATTATCATTTTAGAGTATTAGTAAGTTAAAAAAAAAACTGTTCTCTCACCTAGCATGGGAAATCAAAACAGGTAAAAACCACAAAAACTCCAGAGGAGTAAAGTAAAAAGGTCAACTTACTGTAACAGCTGCAGGTACTTTAGAAGCTCTCCCTTAGGAAGCATAAAACCTCAGATAATTAATTTTAGTCTTACCAAATATTTTCGCCTTTTCTCCCACGTGAACCGTCAATCACTATCTGCAGCTTCACCTTAAAATATTAGCTGCCGACAGACGTCATTGATATATCTGAAAATAAATCCTAAACCCTGATCTCAAAGGATGACTATAGGCCATATGGTTAGAAAAACTGCTCAGCTCAAGTATGTAAGTAAAATATGGAGCTATGGAATTATAGCTCAGACCAAAGCTGAGAATTCTAACAGGTTAAAAGGTGAACAGGTGCAGATCATGTGGACAGCAGCTGTACTGCTAACAATGAGATCTTCAGCTTTTCAGACAGTGAAGTGGAATAAAGCACTAACTTGTTTTCATGCTAAGACTAAATAGGAGCTGTTGACCTCCTCTGACCCATTAGCGATCAATACAGCTATTAGGCGTATTCACACACGCTGCTACCCTGAGCTTTTTTCACACAATCCCCAGATTAGCTGTATGTGAGACCGCAAATGTCCAAATCACTTGGACCGGACATTAAATTGACCTCTCCCTGCCAACTCCATAGTACAGAGTCTCTATATGTGCACAATAACCGTAGAGAACAACTGACACTAAACTGCACGATGAACCAAACCAGTGAACACAATTACTGCAGGAGGTTTGTGGAAAACGAGCAATTTGGATTCATTCTGAGCAGATTATGTCCTGTGAATCAGAGTTTTCCTGATATTTTTAGGAACTTTTTTTACAATTCTATCTCTATTATGTATTTTTTAACCATTATACATTCACATTGGAAAAGCTTTTTTGACAAATTCAGTGTTTTCTTCTCATTGTTCTATCAACTCTTTGGTTGTTTGAACTTTTCTAAAGCAGGATAAGACTTTATCAGAGTGATGGCTCTGTGAATGTAGCTTGTGTTCAGGTCTTCAAAAGATTAGATCCAATAAAAAGGTTTTTTTTTTTACTTTTCATACAGCCTGTAGCTTAAACCAAAGTGTTTCCATCTGACACAGACAGTCTCCTGTTGTGTACTGTATGTGTGCAGGGGAACTCCGGACAATGACCCGACCTGATTCTACAGACATTGTCCAGAGTTCAAATGAGAAGCTAATATCAGCAATACATTTGTACGTTCACACTGCAGGCACAAGTGGCCCAGATCTGGTTGTTGTGCTCATATGTGACACTGATCTGACTTTTTCATGCTAGTGTGAACAGTACTAATCACACTGAATCTGATCTAAAAATCTTTTGAATTTCTGATGAAAGCCACTTTCATATGTGGTGCAAATCCAATACAGTGTAAACATTCATATCAGAATTCATGTGACTTTTACGTCACTCTAGACTGACATTGGTCATGCAGGTCACTTGATATGGGCCACATTTAACAAATAATGTGAACAGACAAACAAAATGATGAATAAATAAATCAGAATTGAGCGCTAACGCTTGCAGTGTGAACATACGTAACCCCAGTGACAGCAGAGGTAAGACCTTCTGGTTGCAGCTTGACTGACTTCACATGGATTAACCCCTGGGTACCAAAGCCAATTTTGTAGCTTCATCTGTAAGGCATTACTGAGGAAGATAAATCAGGACGAAGCATCCTTGAGCTCATCACACTGAGGTTTGCTGTTTGTCAGATGCTATGACGTGTACAGGTTTTTAAAGAGTGACTCAGCACTAAAGCATGGTCCCTGCACCACAAACATATTTGAAAAGCTTCAAATGGTGAGCATTAATCCCTGCACTTAATTCCAGGCTCTTTCCAATAAAGTTCTGCATATTCTTTTAGGAGCAGAAAACAGTTGTTGCTCTGCTCTCTTCCGGCCCAAACTCAGGCAAAAGCTTTGTAATCACAGAATTGATAGGAGGTGGATGATGGATATCAGCCCCTCCCTACTCCAGCTTTCTCACATCTTCCTCAACTGAGATGGGCTGAAAGTGTTTACACACTCTGAAAACCAAATTAAACCAGAGCAGCCCTGAGGCTCACTGTTTGGGGTCAACAGAAGAATTGATAAATCTGTCTACTAATCTGCTTGATGCAGCAGACAGGTATCAGTTGGTGTCTTCCCATGCAGGAGGAAAATTAGCTTTTTGCTAGCCTTTTTGTTTAATTATTTTCTTTTGCCTTTTATTGCCAGTGACAGCTGGAGATAGACAGAAAAGGGGGTAGACAGAGGGGATGACACGCAGCAAATAGCCACACGTCGGATTCAAACCCTGGGCCGCTGCAGGACTCGGTTCATGGTCCCCAGCTCAAGTGAGCTAACCGGGCTCCCCTGATTGGTAGTTTTTATGCAGGCCCGTGGATTCTTACAAAAGTTTACACAATAAGGACTAACATTTTTTTTTTATATACAATTTACCTGATGTAGTTTTAATGAGCCAGATCATTTGGCCTCTTTTGGCTCCCAATCAGCTCTTCATTTAGTACTCCTGGCTTTTATAATATATAAAATATATATGATTGAAATAAAACCAATTACAGGAATGCTGAATGAGTGAATTACAGATGAAGGAAAATAGTGGTCTTGGCTTGCTCGAACCCACCTGAGGGTGTAGGTTTTTGGATGAAGAACCGTAGCTGTTATCGGAATTCTTGTTTAAATTCAAAAATTGGCAACGGTAAAATGAGAATTATGTAAATTTGCAACAGGTTCCTTCTATCTAAATTTCTAAGGCTACTCGATAACAATCAAAACGTTTCGGATGGCCAAAAGGTGGACGCCCCCGCTGCCCGTTGGCCACTGTAAGAAAATCCTGAGTGGAATTAAAATACCTGAGAGCTCAGGGTCTAGACCACTTCGGATTACAACAAATCTTTACAGTTCCACTAAGTCACAGGAATTACTGACATGAAAAAAAAGCCTTTGCAGCTCAGTTCCCCCCAAAAATCCTTTCATGGCTTAAAAGTGAAGAGTATTCCTTTAACACAGAGCTCAGGGCTTTTCTTTCTCCATAACTCACATATTTGTGCCTCCTACACCTGTGCAAATGAGACGATAGCTGTCCAGCACAAGACGTCTCAGCTGGAAACTCTACGATTAAAGACTACAGTATGAGTTGTGACTGCAGTAAACAAATGAGAGATCAGGACACTGTATAAGCAGTGTTGGGTAGTAACTGATTACATGTGATTAGCCCAGATTACAATTATAGTTACATTGACAAGATTACTTAACTGCATTTTTTGATTACGCCTTTAAATATGCGCAATTTTAAAAAACTCTTGATCTTTTGAACTTTGAAATCTTGATTGGGGAATTTGGTAAATCTTATAAGGGATAGGAATCGAGAACCAGTTCCAAACTGTGGAGTCTGTTTGAATTACTATAACTGTGTCTGTTCGGGGTCAGAGAGAATGGAACAGTTCAGTTGATGCTGAAAACCTGTGTATGCCTACTTTTTTCCGCTCATAAATTGATCAGGAATTAATAAGGGAATCGAGAAAGAATCAGATCGATAAGCAGAATCGACTTTACTGTATGTAGTAAGAGTTTATCAATGGCATCCCTAAGAAATCTCATGTTATTCCAATGTGCCATACGTTTGAGATCAGAGCTGCCACTCGAATCCCGACACAGCCTCTGATTGGTCGACAGACTGAACCCAATGCATCATGGGATTACAAGCGGATGGCTAACACCCATGCTAACAGTGGTTTTCATTACCACAGAAGACGGTGATTATTTAATGGGACCAACTGTAAATGCAAAATTAATTTATTTGCACTGAGAATGTTTTGAAATGTTTAAAAAGGAAACAGAATATGAGTGTAAACTCAGATCTTTGTGTCCCTTTGTATTTTTAATGTTTGATTTTGAAATAATCCAAAAGCTTTCAGATAATGGATTACATTACTAATTTAAGAAATTGCCATGTAATTTGTATTCAGTAATTGACTACATTTCCCAGGAATCTGACCCGACACTGAATATAGGCAACAGTAAAGTTGTGATGTATGTGATGACTAATACAGTAATACCATGAACCATGGGGATGTCACTATAAACTAGGAAAATATAAGAAAATATCAAAAAATATCGAAATAGCCAAAAACACTATAGATTTTTGTGTTTAAACCCCAAAGCCCTAGATAGCAGTGTAAACTGAGTGACATGATGTTGGATGTTACTGCAATAAATTCAGTTCAGTATCACAATATATTGAATCGTATCACCAGATTCTTGCCATTATATAGCCCTACTATGAACCCATGAACAGTCCATGACTCACTACAAACTTACTCTGGTGTGTTGATCCAGATGATGTCGAGGTGGCAGTAATACACACACTCCTTGTCTTTGTAAGTGTAGCACGTGCATCTCTTCGCACGCCTCCTGGCCCCCGGCGGGTCACAGGGCTTCGCTTCACCTTGAGAAGAAACAGGGGCGAGGTCGTCCACACCTCCGGACGGACGCGTGCTCAGCATGATGGCTTCCGCCTCCCTCCTCTGGTTTACATCTTTGCCAGATGAGGAACCTGCAGGGTCACAGCAATTTGAGAAGTGTTTCAGAACTGCCCTTTGTATCTTTGGTCGGAATTAGAATAAGTGAATGTAAACTTTCTAGGTCTACACCTCTGTCTGTGAAGTCACTATCTTTAGATGGCCATGTGTGAGGATATTTATATGGAGGTGTTGAGAGATAGGAGATCTAAAAGGTGGGCCTTTACTACTTTTTTCCAATTATGACCAAATCTCTTTTATAATTCATATACTTCTTTGTAGAAATTAAGTTTATTAGAGGTAATCCAACCTCAGTGACTAATATCAACACTGGCTGCAATTTCTCCTACAAGGGAAGTGCTGATCTGACTTTATTGAATTAATTATCAACGACAAATTAAATTATGGATTAATTGTAATATTGTACAATTGTAAAAGTAATTTAAACAATAAAGATTCCAAACATTTGCAGGTTCCGAGTCCAAGTTACATGGTGCAGCCCTGATTTGCTTGTACTGTTGTACACTTACCTGTGGGTTCTTGATCGGATCTTGAAGATACCACATGGGCATTTGTCATTATTTTTACATTGTCTAAACTCGATGACTAAGCAGTTATCTAAAGAAGAACAGCTACATAAATGCATCATTATAATAATCTCTTCCAATTTTACTGTTATGTTGGTTTTATGTGTTAGTAATACGCACATATAATTGAACTCCTGTTTCCACAGTATCACTCTGAATGTGTAGAACTGCACTAACATATTGCACACAGTCAGACAGATTAATGTGATAGGCATCTCCATCACTAATATTCCAGTTATCTGCACAGTATGTGTGCCATCATTATGACAACTGGAATAGGTGAGCACTATTTTATTCTTTTTTTTAAATGTAGTTTTATCTGTTAATAACAGTACTCACCGTTTGCCAGAGATGCTGTCACCACGATAAGAATCAGAACTCCCACATCAACCGATGTCACGTTAGCCATCACACATGAAACATTAATTCAAATTCAAAACATAAAAGAAAAAGAAAAAAAGTTTTTTAAAAAAAAAGTCTCCCAAAGTCCAGAGCGTCCTGGCTGCTGCTATGTGTTTTTCTCTCAGGTTATTCCGGATACATCATATATGTCGGTGTACACAGAGATGCTGGCCGCCTGTAGAGCTGTGCTGTGTGTGCTCCCCTCAGCCGGACCCTGCTGCTTTATGTCGGCAGCGCTCAGCTCAGAGACAAGACAGCGGCAATACCAAGCACACTTCCGGGTGCAGCTTTCAAAGTAAAACCTTTCCGGTCAAAAGCCAATGAGAGGTTTGAGACATGCGAGCAGCTCTTCCGGTTTTGTGCTGTTAATAATGAACGCAATTTGGGGAGAAAGAGTGGTTGAATTGTAACCTAGAAATTGCAGAATTTAGTAATGCCTACAAATTCAGTTGTTTAGAATATTACAATAATATGACCTTATTTTCAAGGTCCAGTGTGTAACATTGAGGAGGATCTATTTGCAGAAATTGAATATAATATTCATAGGTATGTTTTCATTAGTGTAGGTTTGTTTTCATTACATTTTTTTTGTTATCTTAGAATAAGGCATATCTGACGCTGTGGGTCGCCTTCCATGGAGTCCCCCATGTTGAACCACCATGTTTCTACAGTAACTGAGAAGGGACAAACGAAAAACTGGCTCTAGATAGGGGTGTTCACGTTTTTGTGCATTTTGTAGCCACCGTAGCTCCTTCGAGCTTGGAAAGAGAGGTTGAAACAAGGGATTTGCAGTCTGCAGCTGCACCGCTAGATGCCATTAAATATTTGTCCTTTAATTCACAAATAGCAAAATTACAATATAGGAAATGTATTAAAATATAGGCTATATTATATCAAATTAGTTAAAACCACAGATGACTACCCCCACAGACACACCCTTAAGAACGGTATTACTGTGAAACAAACCCATCAAGGCACTACTTCCTGAAAATCTGTAAGTTTACATCAGTAGGTCTGAGGTACCTTATTGCCATAACCCAACGTTTTCTTCCACTAAAGCAAATTATTACCTGTCAAAACATCTGATGAACAGTAAACAAAAATAAATAAATAACTATTATAAATCCCTAAGCTATACAAAATTACAATGCTTATGTTTTCATAATGATATAAAGTACTTCAAGAAAATGAGTCAATGAAACAAACTTGAATTATGGCGATAGCCTGTACTTAAAATACTGGACATGTTTGAGTTGCTTCAGCAATTTTAGGTTTTAATTTATGTGAACTCCATGTTGTGAGGTTTTACAATCCAATCAACATTTTTGATAGACTAGTGAAGATTGCATTACAATAATACAATCTGCTAGTTTATAAGGAATGAATCAGAACAGGCCAGCATCATAATTATTTCATTCATTTAGAGTGAGCAGATCAGAGGTCTGTCTGGACCTAACAGATTAAGGTATTTAAAGGTCCAGTGTGTAACATTTAGGATGATCTATTGTCAGAAATGGAATATTATATTCATAGGTATGTTTCATTAGTGTATAATTCATCATCATTATGATCATCGAAAGTTGTGATCAGTGATCGCTGAAACAGGCTTAGTCGGGACCCTATAAGGGCACTTTATCTTCGTTTTGTCCACTGGAAGGGAACCATAGAGGTGCTTTTTAAAGCATGGGGACACCAAGTGGTGCATTGTATTTGTGAATATCAACAAAGCAACAGGATAAGGCCATAAAAGTGGGTTTATCTAGTATTGAGCCCTTTCTGACCCATTATATGATTTTTGTTGCAGGCTTTGTGAAGACACTTGCCCACCTGCAAACCTCTAAAATTACACATTTGCTAGCTGTTTCAACTCTTTTTCCTAAGCTAAGCTAATTGGATTTTGACAACAGCTCTTTACTTAGCACACAGATAAGAAAGTAGAGTCAATTTTGTCATCTAGCTCTCAGCAAGAAAGGTGATTAGCCTATTCTCCAAAATGTTGAATTTAAGTGAACAGAATTTAGATTGTATTTTGATTGTTAATTGACAGAAAGCCCTTCAAATCATACTGTTACTTGGTTGAGAAAGAAACTGACCTGCTTGAATCAAAATTGATGGGTGTTCACACAGATACAGAATTGTAATTTATTGTAATTGTAATATTGTTATATTAAAAGTTATATTCGAGGGGAACTAAGCTTATTTTTTTAATTTTCACACGTCAAACCCCTGCACTGCTTCAAGTGTTTTTGCCATGGTCCACAAAACAATCTCTAACATCACCCATTTTGTGAAAGGCTACTTTCAGTGCATGTGTTTGTTTTTAGCCTGAGATCACTGAGGAAAAACTCAACTGCTTAATGTTCCAGGCCTGGGATGAAATGCTGCCGTTGACATTGATGGCCCAAACAAACTGTGAGTAATGGAAACCAGAAGTGTAATTTTTGTGAATTTGTTTTTTTGA